GTTTTTTAAAAAGTAACTGTTTTGGGGTTGAAAATTTTCCAGCAATAACTGTTGAAGTCAGTAGGTTTCCCGCGTAACTGTTGTATCAGTAAATTTTTCCTGCAGAACTGTTGTCAGTCAGTTTTAATTTTTTTAGCGTAACGGTGTAGTAGTACAGTCTTCCAGCAGCAAAAATTTTTTCAGTAGTGAAGTTTTCCCGTAAAAATGTTTTCAGCAGCAAATTTTTCCACAGTAACTGTTGTCAGTCAGTAGGTTTTCCGCAGTAAACTGTTTTCAGTCAGTAGAGTTTCCGCAGTAAATGTGTCACACGAAAACACGAAAATCACTCACACGAAAACAAAAAAACTTGGCAGGCGAGCACCCTCCCCCCCAAAGAAAAAACAGGGGTGTCACTAGCACGTTTAGGGGGACCCCTACAATAAATGTCAGGGGCCCGGACTGTTAAAATGCCCCCCAGTACACATAAGGGGGATTTACCAAAAGGGACCCCTGGGAGTCTTCAAAGCTGGCATGGACAAGCACCTAAAGTAGTTCCGGATCACCGGGGGTGTGGCTCGTACGTTGGTTTGCGTGCAGGCCCGCAGCACTGCGTGGTTGATCAGGCTTGATCCCCAGGGGGGGTCTGGTCACAGACCGGGCCCGGGGGGGGTTGACCCCGGGAACTCTCTCCAGGTAAAATCCAGTCAGAAAAAGTTTTCAGGGAGTAATGTTGTCAGTCAGTAGGTCTTCCCCGCAGAACTTTTGTCAGTCAGTAGAGTTTTCAAAACAGTAAAATGTTTTTTCCCGTCAGTTGAGTTTTCCCCCAGTAAAAATGTTGTCGTCAGAAGAGTTTTCCAGCAGTAACTGTTGCCCGTCAGTTGAGTTTTTTCCCGCAGTAACTGTCGTCAGGTCAGTAGAGTCTTCTAGCATAAAATGTTGTCAGTCAGGGGAGTCTTCCTTTATTAAATGTCGTCACAGTAGATCTTCCTTCAGTCCTCTTTTCAGTCAGTGGAGTTTAAGCAGTAATGTCGTCAGTCAGTAAAAGTCTTCCGCAGTAAATATCGTCAGTCAGTAGAGCCATCCCGCGTAAAATATCTCAGTCAGTAGAGTCTTCCCGCAGTAATGTTGTCAGTCAGAAGAGTTTTTTCCCCGCAGTAGTGTTTTCATCAGTTTAGTTTTTCCAGCAGTAACTGTTGTCGTCAGTAGGTTTTTCAACAGTAAAAAGTTTCGTCAGTAGAGTTTTTTTCGGCAGTAACTCTTGT